GCTCAGGGCTGATTTCAGCAGTACTAAAACCAAAGAAGGAAAATGGCTTAAAGCACTGCACAACTTCTGTGAACATCCTGGCCCCCCTCCAGGCTGAAGAAGAGTAAGAAATTACTGTTTTACATTTACAAGCGGTTTGCTCAGCAGGGCAATGGGCAGAGCTCTTGCTTGAAAGAGGTGGGGTCAGTCCCTTTTCCCAGGTAACAAGTTCTAGCACAAGAGGAAACAGCCTCAAGTTATGCCAGAGGAGGTTCAGATTGGATATTAGGGCAAATCACTGAAGGGGTGGTCAGGCAGTGGAACCAGCTGCCCAGGACAGTCCCTGGGAGTGTTCAAAACCTGCAGATGTGGTGCCTAGGGACAGGGGTTAGTGGTGGGCCTGGCAGTGCTGGGTTGTCAGCTGGACTCCATGACCTCAGAGGTCTTTTCCAGTCTTTTCCAGTGATTCTGTCACTCTCCAATTGAAAGTTGTACTGAGAAATGCAAATGCAGGCAAATGCATCCCACCCTACTCACACCTGTTGGGTTGCTTTGCTGCAGGTGATGTTTAGAAACAAATTACTCTTTCAGTGCATCCAAAATATGCCCTCAGAGAATTTTCCTTGGTTGGGTTTTTATTCTTATTATCCAATCTGTTACCACTGTAATATTTCATGCTTCTGAAAAAAAAAAAAAAGGGAAAAAAAGTCATATTCAAGAACAAAGCAACCCATGGCTTTTCTTCATTTCAGTCTTTTGTGTCCAAAGGGCTGTCCTTAACTCAATAACTGAGTTTTTATTGTGTCACATTTCACTGTCCCTGACTGCAGTCAGCCTGGCTAATCCTTTTGCTACTGCCTTATCAGTATTTCCCTAAAAAAAGACATTGTCCTTTTATTATCACCTTGACACCCACTCCTGAGTGCCTGGCGGGGTTTGAGAATTTAAAATTGTTTTTTCATGCAGTTTTATTTAAGAAAAAGGAAAAGCTTCAAAATATTTCCCCACCCAATGTTTTTATACATGCTTTTTTAACCATGATAAATCATCTGGAAATTAAAAAAAAAAAAAAATCCAGAAAAAAGGAGTGAGATTTAAGTTCTCTATGATTTTCAAAATGAAAGTGTTCAAGGACTTGCTGTTCACCTACTCCTAGCTGCTTTATAAAAGGAAGATTTGTTGCATTTCTGGTTGTGGTAAGAATTTGCTTTGAATTGAGTTGTTTTAAAAGCAAACAACAAAAATCAAATACAGAGCCTCAGCTGTATATATTAATTGTTGACTATTACATTCATATAATGCAGAAGATACTCAAGTATCTTGCTCTTGCAAGCTTTAATCTTGTGATAAATTTAGTATTTCCTGTGCCACAGGGTCAAAGGCCAAACAAAGAGAGGAGAGATGTCCATATCCAAAATCCTTTTTGTGACTGGAACAGGAGCTCAAGCACATGGACAGGAAGGAATCTCTCTGGGCTGGCACAGGCAGTGGCTGCATGGGCTGAGAGGCTCTGTTCAAAGCTCCAGCACTACAAGTGATCATGAACAGGTATCTCTGATACTCTTCTCACCTCCATGAATTCAGCTGATTGCTCTCAGTACATTGAGAGTGTGGTAACTAAAGAGTGCTCAGGCATTTTTTCCCCTGATTATTTCACTTGGGAACAGCATGGGCCTACCAGTGGGAATATAGAAAGGTCTTTTCTATCCCTTAAAGAACAACAGTGCCTTATTTCACAGACTGCAGGAACTCCTGCCCTAATACTGAACATTCCAAGACAGCTCTCAAGGAAGTCATTAATACTTCCCAAATTTACCAGGGAAGCCACTAGCCTTGGCATGGATGTTCTTGCAGCTACCTGCCAGATTTGTTCATTTCTGTCTACAGTTTCTCTGCTCACGTCTCTTGGCCAGTAAATGCTTGCCAGGGACTATATTACTTTCAAAGCTTGGACCATCTGAAGAAGAAAAAGTGCTTTTTTTTCCCATAAGACACTGCAAAAGTTGCATGTATTTAATGAATGTGGAACTATGCTCTAGGCTGCTGCTTAGCTGTAGGGAGAATAACATTTCTGCTGAATCCCGGAAGATTTCAAGCTAGAAAATTTTCACATTTATTTTCTTTTAATAAATTCTCTCCTCCACGTACCCAGGGGCAACTTTGGTGGCACCAATCACCAACACACACATTTTCTCTCAATGTTACACTTCTTGAACCTATTTATTCCATTATAGTTTAAATTTTTCTTGCTCTTATCAGCTGACACTTACATACAGCTTTGCTGGCCTCCTATAGCAAACCTCTATTATCCTTGCTTTATTTGAAGCACTGAACAAAGTTCTTTTTAATTGTTGCTATCTGACCTCTGTCCTGGAGAAACAAAATTAGTTTTTCACAAGAAATGATCTCTGTAGCCTTTCCCAGCTATTGGCCATCTTATCAGACTAAGTAATGATGCCAATTCTACCTGGTTCATCAACTATTTAAAGATTCACACTAAGTCCGGTCCAGTTTATAAGAGACAAAGGCAAGAGTGAAATGTATGATCTCATTTCTCTGGGTACAATTCTTCCAGCAATTGTAAAGAGTGAGCTGTTGATATGGAAAGGTTAATGCTGTGCCCTCTTTTTTATCAATTGTCTGTTTTCTATCAAATCTATGTCTTATCTTGTGTCTGCCTTATCAGATCTGCTTAAGTAAGGTACACATTTGAAGCCTGTTCTAAATTTAATTTCTCCTTTTTGAAAGTCCTGCAACTATTAAAAAAAGAGAAAACCTTTTACAAAGTCTATTTTAGACAAGGGATACAGGCCAAGTTCAGGTATTAACCATTTGCCAACTATGCCCTTGATCACAAAATACTCCTTTCATCTTCAAATTGATCAGTAACCTAAAATAGAGCATCTTAAGATAACATGCCCATTCCTAATTTCTTTTATTTAGTTAAAAGAATTGGATTGGTACAAATTTCCCTTAAAATTGGCTGTTGGCCTTTCCTGACAGCAAACTTCATGAAATAAAATAACTGATTTCTGTTCTAGGCTTTAGCCACTCACAGATCTTGATTGTGAAGGGAGAGCTGCTGGTAGCAATCTAGAACACCAAAAAATACTTTTTGGGGTGTTCTTGGAACAAACTGCAGCACAGCAGAAGGCCACTGTTGTACTGCTGTACAACAGAACTGTCTGGATACTGCTCCATGAAATCCCACGTGTTTCCAGTGCTTTTGGGTTCCTTCCTTTCATTTTGGTTTCCATTTATTCTCTAGTGGTGAGGAAAACCACCAACCCCCCTCACTGCCCAAATACTTGCTCTGCTGAATCTTAAATTCTCATATTCTACTTGTGTACTTTTTTTCTGCCTGCCTGATGTCTCACCAGTTCTTGTGAAATTTGGAAACTGAAGGGAAGTTTCATTGTGAAATTAAAACTGACAATTGTGAAATTAAAAATAGACTAGCAGATCTGTTAGGAATGTAGGAATGTAGAGTGTAAGTAGAGATCTTGTGTTTATCAAATATGTTGCTGAAGATTCACCTCACAGGCTGGTTTCTACCTTCAGTATTTCCAGACAACTCTACTTCTAACAGTGTTTTTCTTAATTCCATTTCCCTCTTCTCCTCCCCATTCCCAAAGAGCTGTGTGTCCTTGTGCCTTTGCCTCCAGACAGCTGTCATGGCAATTTTGACCTTCCAAATGCATCATTTCTTTATCACTAAAAGCAAGGATTTTGAGTTAATACCTCATGGCCTTTGCCTGGAGGCCAGTTCCTTGTTGGCAGCATCAGTGTATGGTTGACTTTTTCAGCTTCACGTTGTATTTCATGCACTTAAAAACATTTCCTTCAGCTCTGTTATTAGCATTCTCCAGTAGTGTAACTGTGGTTGACATTAAAAATATGTCCAACGTTCCCCTTGCATCAGTTAAGAATGTTTTGACAAAGATTTTCTAATGCTGGAAAAGTATTTTTGAAATGATGTAACTTCTGCTTAAACCTCACTGCCTCCCTCTCAGTTTCTGATTACAGGGCTCTAAATGTTTTATATTAACTGTTAAAAGACAGTCTTAGAGAAATCCTCTTCCTGTGCAAAAGGCAATCCAAGATGGTAGTTTGCTTAAAAAGAAAGGGGTATGTGCTCTAATAACATATGCTTTATAATAATGAAATGAAGAAACAAACTTAGTGTAATTCATTGTCCCATTCATTCATGGATTGAAAGGAAAATTAACCATTTTGGTAAAAACAAAAGCTAATGCCTTTTTTTTCACCTGGGGTTCTGTAAGCCTTAAATATTCAACAGCTTTAAGCATAATGTGCCTTTTTTGTGTTAGACTCCTTTTTCTTCCAATCCTTTGAGCACTTTGCATGCTTGTGTCAGCTTTCAAAACTGACAACTCTTGCCCTGCTTGAAGGACTCAAAGGATTTGGATGAAACATTTATTTTAACGTTTGATCTCCATCACTCCTTGACAGAAAAAGTGAACCTGTAGCCATTACCAAAACTGCAGAAGATAGCCTAGAATTTAATACACATAACAGGAATGAGAGTACCTTGGTACTTGCTTTGGTTTGGGAAAAACAGGTTCTGCCTTTCAGTGACATAAACCTATTCTTTTAATGGCTATAATTTTGTTACTGCTCTGTCTGGGAAAATGGCACCACTCTGACTTGCCAGATAGAACTGAGCCAAAGGAGATGAGTTTTGTGGAACAAATACCTTTGAAACTGCATAACTAGTATAGTAGTAAGGAATTTCTAATGCTGGAATTAACTAGAAGACCATCTCTGAAAGTATAGTCTTTGTTCACTAACTTCTTTTTGAGCCTCAAGATCTCTTGGGGCTTCTGTTTTCATTTTGGTTTTGGGTTGGGCTTTTTCCCTAACTGAGGTATCAGACATTAAATATGTGCAGCACATTTGGAAGACAAAACTGCTACCAATGCAAAAAAGTGTAGAAAAGATTTATTGTAAACAAAAGGATTTTGTGCAAACAATGAGAAAAAAAGCTTCTTTTTTTTAATTTTTTAATACCTCTGAGGCAAGAAGGCAAAGAATGACCCAACAAAATGGAAACAGAACCGTGGCAACCTCGGGCTGTGGTACCTCCTGAGGCCCCTGGGGCATGATTTCGGGCAGCACTGGAGCCCTACCAGCCCCGGGAGCTGCTGCCTGTGGCCAGGCTGGAAAGGCCAGGCCCAGGGCGCTGCTCCTCCAGGCGGTGGAACTCGGTCAGGCGGAAGCGAGTGGCCAGAGTGTTCACCATCCTTTTCAGGGCAAAAAAGGCTGCGACCACTTGGAAGGAGAGGAAGGCGGCAAAGATGATGTGGACAGCTCGCTCCAGAGAGTGGATTTTCAGACCTTCATTAAATAGCAAGAAGAGGATTATAGGCAACTGCGGGAGGAGGGTCAGGAGCCAAAACCCAGCCAGCTCAGGCACCTATAATAGGGAGACATCACCTATTAAAAACCTGAGAGCTGGGATGAAAAAATCCAAAATCTTGTGAAGAAAACACATTTCTTTTTGATTTTTCAAAAGCTGGCAAGTAATGCGGAAAGGCAAAGTGAGGTGGCTTCATATTTTCATATCCTGTGTTTTAAAGCGTACTTATATTTTCTGACAAAACAATTTTAGGGAGTGAGAGAGCTCTCTTCTGAGGGAAAACTACTTGGAATTCACAAAATTAAGTGGAAGCCAATGCCAAGGGAGGAGAAGATGCAGAGTGCAACTGAAGAAAAATAACCATCTCCATAACTTGTATTTCTTAAATAAAATGCCTGCCAATTAATGTTGAAAAAATTAAAAGCAGAAATTCTTGCAGAAATTACTATGTACATATGGTAACTTACTTTCTCCAGGAGATTGCCCACATATCCCAGGTAGAGTCGAATGAGCTCTGTCAGAGAGACCAGGATCATGATGGTGACCAGGATGAACTTGTAATAATCTGATAAGACTGGATACTGGAGGGGAAGAAGACAGTAAAAGTTTCTGCCGTGCTCTCTGTGATTAAATTAAGATTTAATCACTTAGCAGTGCTACTGTCAGCTGACAGTAATGGCATTCAAACACTCCTGAACCTCCAGTTTCCATGAATTCCCAAATCAATGTAAAAACCTCTAACTCCAGTGAGCTGTATCCCACACTAGGATGTTTGATGTAATATACATTTACAAACCAGCACTTTCCTTCCTTCTCACCTTCAGGTAGAGGATGGCAACTGTGATGAGCCACCAAAATGGGAAGAAATAAACATTGAAATAGAGGGACATCTGCAGTGGCAAACTGGAAAGGATTTCACAATCTGTATGGAGAGAAAGAAGATTTTATCACTTCTGCTGTAAATACAAGAGAAGGATACTGCTCCATCTTAGCTTCATGCAGGGCAGTAATTTGACTCTTCCCAGTCAAATGTTAAGAAAAATATTTTTATTTATCCAGAGGAAACCTTCACACCCTGTCTGGAGTTACATCACCTCCTGGAATCTAAGGTACCTTTTGGTTCCTGGGACAGAGCATTTTTATCATGTAGTCATATATTCAAGTTGAGTGTCCAGTTGTTGATTACCTGGTGGCTTTTAGCTTACTCCACCATCTCTGACTGAGGCTTAGCTCAAGAGAGCTGCTAGAGAGCAGGCTTGCACAGCCCACTGTTCATTTTCAACCTTTTATTTAAACAAACACTTGGATGGAAGCCAGTAATTCATCATATTCTTAAGGGATAACAATTTCAAATATGTGTCAAACTAAAACTCATCCTTTTGAGCCTGTAGAGAGCAAAACACATTCACACAATGCAATGCAGAGAAACGCAAATCTCAAACTCCAACCTGTGGGCAGTAAATTCTGTACTTGCAAGTTTGTAATAGACCTACAAGGTCAGACATAAGGAAAAATTTACCTAAAAACAGAGAAGCCAGGAGTTCAAATTTCAATTGTGATCACAGTGTTTAGGTATATTAAAGGTTTCCTTGACATGACATTGCTATTTATAAATTCTCTGCAAGTTCTAAAACTGTGTTTGGATGAATATTTAAGCAATATAAGCCAATTCTAATTCATTTTTCTATCCCTAAATTGAATTAATGCTTATTTGCTGGGATTGCTAAAATTAATGGAAAAGCCAGACAATATTGCAATGGCCAATCGCTACAGCAACTTGCTAAGACACGTACGTGTAAAACTTAATTTTTGAAATCCCGATGTCCAATAATTTGCAATTGGTTTCAGTGGGTTGGGTATCAACATAGGAGTATCCTCCAAAGAGGAAGCCGAAAAAAAAGAAGACTGAAGATAAAGTTGTTTGTGAAATGTTTGATTAATGAAGAGCTAGTAAGCGTTAGCAGCGTTACTACACAAAGGAAGTGGGAACTCCTGTCTCGAAATAAGAACACATTTTTGATTAATTTGACCGGCTCAGAATGGATTTACAATGGATTTTGGCTGAAACCAACACGGCCTTTCTGTGTAGGCGCACCGTGTGCATTTCCAGGGCTGCCCCGGCGCCCCGGGTTTGAAAAGGGTTGGTCCGCAAGCTCCGGGGCGCTGCGATGGGCTCAGCCATCGCTCACCGCTCCGGGCAGGCTCCATGAGGAGAAAGCCGCGGCCACAGCGGCTCCTGCGAGCGGCGGCTCCGCGGGAGCGCCGGGCCCGCCCGGCCGGCCCGAGGCCGCGGCCCCGCGCTGTACCTGCGCGGTAGCCCGGGAAGCCCGGCGGGGCTCGGGCAGCGTCGGGGGCCCCTCCGGCCGCGCCATGGCGGCCGCACCGCGCAGGCGCGGTGGGGCCCGCTGCTGNCTGGGGTATCGGCCACTGCTCCCAGCTTCGTGCACCAGTGAACTTGCTGAGCAGGCATCTGCCCCTTCATCCAAGCCATTGATGAATAAGTTAAAAGTGCTTTACTGCACAACTTTTCATCAGCTTTGTTTGTAAGCTAAACATATTTTAAATAAAATAATAATTGTAATTATATTTTATGGGATCTTTCTACCAAGTTTCTCAGAGCAGCTTATGAATATCACTCGTAAATGAGCCCCATAATGTTTTATGAAGTAGGTGATTATTATAATTACAATTATGATGATGATGATGTACCTAAATTACGGCACAGAAAGAGTAAGTAACCTGAAGAAGATCAAATAGCAAGTTCTGAATTGTAAAGCGGAACCCAGAAAAAAATCCTGACGCACATTTTCAATACAAATATATAATGAAATTCAAGTCCATAAAAGCTAGATTAATACTTTCAAAGTAAGTGGATGCATTGTATTTACTCACTTTTAAGTCTCATATCAAATGCTATCTACACTTGTTCAGACTTACACTAACATTTTTTTTCCTATGTATGTGTGCACATGTGTAAGAATGATAAAGAAGAGTTGGCTAAAGTCTGTCAAAAGAGAAAGTAACTAAATGAACTTTAAAATATCTAAGACAAGAAAAAAATACAAGTTATAAATACAGGACATGGGTATATTCAAACATACCATGATAAATTCTGAATCACAGAGGTTTGGACCAGGATTGGTGCTGATCATTCATGTCTTGGAAACACACTCAACCTCATTCCTAGCCCTGAAGCTTACACTTTAGGCCCACACTGCTGTACTTTACACTTTTAGGCCCATACAACTGTATCTTTATCCTTTCACCTCTACCATACAACTGTATCTTTATCCTTTCACCTCTACAGTACCTATAATTCCCATTTTAGAAGCCTGTTGATTTTTTTAATGTCTATTACTTTTTTCTAACCATCTTCTCTCTCAATTCCCCTGTAACTAACCAACATCTTCCACAGACCTCTCCTGACATAGGGTAAGACTCTTGCTGCAACAGACAGAAGCAAGGAAGTTCCCACTTCAGTGTCTTATCCAAGATCAGTTGTGTGTGTGACGGAGCAGCACCCCTGTGCTTCAGCTGAGCACCATGCCTTCCCTGGGCTCCCCTCCATGTGTTCCCCTTGGTCTCTAGAAGACTCAGCTTTCTTTCAAGCTGTCCCATATTGAACCAGAGTGATGGAGAAGAACATGTCTTGCCAGTCAATCCAAGATCTGTGACCAGACCTGGGACTGATTGTGCTTCAGGTGTGGAAGTGGGTGGGCAGAAACATTCCCAGCTCTCTGAGATGCCCCTTCTGTTTCCACTTAAACTCACACAGGCGACCCTGAGATCTGGACTCCCCGTGGTTTCAGAAGTGCAGAGGTAAGTGAACAAAGCAGAACTGCACAGAATGATCTTCATGAAGTAGATAAAAGGACAAACAGTAAAGGGATAAAAAGCAGACTGAAGAGAAAACAGAGAATGGTAAAGCAACAACAGCAGCAAATCTGATGGTTTTGAATTTCCTTCAAAGCTGCTCTACTGTTTCTGATGAGGTGCTTCACTTTGCACACAATTACAAATCCTTCATGATGGTGTTGGAGAAATCCAGTGGCACTCAGGCCATGCTACTGTCAAATACATCCTGGAGTTCACAGGGGGACACTGAAAGCATGACTGGGCTACATTTGGAAGAGGTAGAAGGGAAGAAAGAGAGACACCTTCACAGCAGAGGGAAACCAAATCCACCTGGAGCCTAGAAGCAGGCGATGACTTTTGGAATCACCCAAAGGAGTCAGCTCACAAGGTCAGCTCTCAGCTACTAGTCATCCCACCAGATGCTAGACATGTCAAAACAATCTAAACAAGATGACAGGGTTTAAGACTCCTGCATACTAAGGGAATGCTTATATTAGATAATTTGATTTTCTTTAATTTAATATAGCGAGATGAGATCAGAAGCACTGCCTTTGACACCATCATTTTAGGAAACAAAAGAGATGGCAACGTGGAAGACACCAGTTTCTAGTATCAGATAATGACCTGATCTAGTATTTAATTTAAAGTTGGCAGACTTTGACTGAATATGATTATCAGGACATTTACACTTTATTTTAAAAAAATCAATTAAAAGCAGTAATTTGAAGTCATTTCAGCATTTTTCGAGTATCTTTAAAAATCTAGATCCCTTGATTTAAATTACTCTAGGGTTTTTTTCCAGTTCAATGTTCTTCCAGTGTATTAAAAGGGAAATGTGTTTAGGGAGCATGTTACAACAAGATTTTGCAATTATAAATGATAAAAGGAACAACATGACGAAGAGATAACAGATACCTTTTATGAAAAGAACAAATTGCTAGTGCAAAAAACTTAAAGCACTTGGTCTAGAACCAGGGCAGACTTTAGAAAATGACTGAAGAACTGCTTCCTTGAAAAGTATTTAAATTTGAATCCTAGAAAGACAGGAAAGCTTTACTATGTCATGAATCAATGAACAAAACAAAAGATAAAGGATTGAGTCAACAGTACTGACCATCTCCTGCACAGCATGGATTGCAGTCTGGACTGCAGAGAGAGAAATAAGTATCCTTTGGAACCATGTGGAAATGCCAAAATAATGGTGGAAAGGGACCCAGAGGCATTTTATAGCTCTTACATCTGATCAAGGTCAGGCCTAATTTGTGGTTAAACTCATATTCTCTTGATTTGATTTAAGCTGGTCCACATGTGAAGGATTTGCAGCTGACTGCATCAATTTCTAGATTAAATGAAAAAGGAATAATTTTCATAATGAAGCAGAAGCATTGATGGGGGCTGGATCACGTTACTGGGAGAAGCTGCACAAAAAGTACTCACTCTTCAGGGAAGGTATCTCCAGCCTTCAGCATTTTCTCTGGGAAGTTCTGCAGGCTTGTGGATGTTGAGATATTTATTTACTTTCAGGTACAGAGTTTGCTTTAAGGCTACAGGATGTGACAGGAGCCTGTGCACAGCAATAAAGGCAGCAAAGGCGGGGAATGGAAGAAAAGCAGAGTTGAAATACTGGTTCCATGTACAAGAAATCCGATGTCAGGACAAGAAATTACAGCAGTAACTGTCGACAGATAGAAATACTGTCTACTAAAAATATTAAGGACCTAACACTTGTTCCATGAGTTGGAGACTAAGCCTGATGAGTAAGGCTGTGCCACCATGCACATTCCCTGAAGATCATTGCCTCAGAAGTGAAATCTTGAACATACCCTGTCCTCACCACCCCTGGGTCCGAGCCACTTCCTCACACCAACACCAGCTCAAATAAAGGATGGAGATGTGCCAGAGAGTAAAGAAAACACACCACCCAAATCTGAGAAGAGCAGACGGGTGTTCCACTGCTCAGGGACAATTCCTAGATAATATGTCAATTCCTTTGTCCCACTGCTGCTAGGAAAAGGGGGGATATTTGGATCTCTATCTCGATACTGTCCCTGGATCCATCTCAAGGCATCCGCTTATCAGCCTGAAGCTAGTAGGACATCTAATAAATTTGAAGCTGCCATCCCAAACCCTCTGGCAGTTGGCAGGAAAAAGTGTTTTCTGTCTCACATGCCAAATAACCTATGAAAAAGACTGGATTTCATAGCTGGGGATGCTGCTTATCCAGAAAAGTTTCAACTTGCCGTAGTCATTTGAGTTTCTCAGACCTTGGTTAAATAAAGCCTTTTAACAAAGAATATTGCACCAGTGCCAAAGCATGAAATTCTTAATGAGCATATAGAAACAATGAAAGAGATCATGCTTTTACCTACAGTTGCAAGGAAGAAGTTACTCTTTAAAGACTCCAGAATCCCAGAGCTGAAAAGTCACTTTTTTTCTCAAATAATTGAATCGAGAGTAAAATTGTTTAGTACATTCCCTTTTTGTAAATCAAAAAGTAATTGCAATCAATGCAGAAGAAGAGATTAATGATGTATAATGGACAAGAGAGCTTGGAAGACACAAGATAATAAGCTTGTCTTGGGTATTGTGTAGGGAATACAGGACTCTACACAATAAAAATGTGAATGCAGTTAGGGGAAACATTCAAAGTCCAGTAGTAATAAGGAGACTGTCTATTAAATCCTCATTTTTGGTGGAAATTGAAAAACTAAGGAGACTAAATCCAGAAGTAATTCAAGTTAATTTGGTCTGTTAAGTGTTGGTGACATTTCACAGAACTACTACATTTTAGAAGAATTAATTTCTTTAGGGGAGATTTGGTGTAGTACCTGAAAATACCAGTGGTGTGGTAGAATTATGTGGAAGATGTGCCATAAGGAAAGATTTTTCAGGAGGAGGAAGTAGAAGAAAATGCTATAAAATGCACACTGACATGAAAAGAGGGATAAAGCAAGACAGGGAATGAAAACTTTAGGTCCAAGAGAAGTTCAAATAGATTGGCCAAACTACTGTATGAATGAAGAAAAATCTAAGTAGGAGGTACAAATCAAAGCAAAAGTAGAAAGCTATGAAATTGTTGCACTGGATAAAACCCAATAGGTAGAGTGGTGATAATTTTATAAATGAGTTGTCATCAGTTCTGATACCATCTGGTCTTTCAGTAACACTAAATTCTCTGGGTGCATATGCAATCTCCCTCTACAAATACCGATTTATTTTAATATATAAGCACAGCTACCTCTCAGACTGTTTACAAATTGCATGAAGGGCAGGAAGAGCAATGGCAAAATACAGATGAAAATATGAACAGGACAACCACATGCCAG